AATGCCATCCACAGTAAGTATCTGTTTATGTGATCGGTAGAATGTCCCAAATGTTAATTTTTCAATGACTGCACCTCTTCCTCATTGACCCTTTGTTTCAGCTCAGCCTCCTGCTGCAGTCGCTCCTGCTCCACACCTGCCTCCATGCTCTGGAAAGTAAATAAAAATCTCATTTTTTTTCCAGCTTCCGTCTTCAGTTAAAGCAGCGTGTTTGTGTTTTACTGACATTTATAGATAAGAGGTTTAACTCGTAAAACCATCAAAACAGGATCTGGTGAAATCAGTCAGCTCGTGATGCTAAGTTCACCTGTATGCGAGCTAGATACTCCGAAAGCTTGGCTTCACAGTCGCGCACGCGGCCCTGCAGCTCGGCTAGCTGTTGCCGCAGCTGCCACTCGCTCTCCTGCTCTATCTGCAACTCGTTCTGCCAGAATTCCTCCTCCTCCATCTCGGCGTCATTCCTCCTCACCTGCTGCTCTAAAAGCAGCAGCTCTTCCTCCAGGTTTCCTTCCTGTGAGCCATGGGATTAAAATATGATGTAGGGATGTAAAAATAAAGATATTGGAAGGCATGAAAGTTTAGGGTGCAGACGATCTGAAGATCAGCACATATGCAATGTTCTCTCAGTGACTGCACTGGCAGCTGTGGTTTTACTCACATCGCTGGCCTCGCCTGTGGCCTCCTCCCAGTCTCGCAGCTCAGCCTCGCAGCCCAGCAGGCGGCTTTCCAGGGCCTGGAGTTTGTTTCTCTGCAGCTGCACCAGTCGGCTCAGCTCTCTGGCCGGACTCCCAGGTACAGATGCTATTCCACCTCCTCCAACTCTGCTGAGGTTTAAACTCACACCGTGCTGCTGGGACTGTTTGACTAGATGCACAGACAAAAAGGGAAGACTAAGATTAAAAGAAGGAAACTGAACCATTGAAGTTAGCAAAGAAATGACTGGTAAGATCATGGCTAATATTTTAGCTATACACACCATCAGTATCTCTGCTTTTTCCAAATATTTCCCGCAGACCCTTGGCGCCTCCTGTGAAGGTCAGAGATTTGCGTTTGGGTTCCTTTCGTTTGAGCGACCTGTCTGTCCCCGATGGGCGGAGCTTGGCCAGAGGTGGAAGGCTCTGGCGGTATAGACCTCGTTCTGGGACACGAGCCAGCCCTTCAGAGGTTGGCCGCTCGCTGACAGACGGGCCGGTGCGCTGGAGGATGAGCTGCACGTCACTGGCATACTGGCCCCACTTGTTCAGGGACACTACAGGGTTTTCATTTGGAGCCAGGTGGCGCTCTGTCTCCCGCCATTTCTCGATCAAAGTGTATCTGCCCGTCCGTCCTGGGACAAAACAAAAAGTAGTTGAAAGGTCCTGACATTTTATGACAGCTTTTCACAATCAGTGGAAGGGAATCCTACATGAAGGGTTTGTTTTTCTGTGCTCTTTTCATTGCAATGGACGGGGTTCTGCTGGAAGAAGGAGATGTGATGTTAATTTACCCCTCCTTCCCTTGATGTCCGACAGGTTTCAGTTGAGACAACCTTTATATGGTGCAAGCGTTTTAAAAGTTTTCAATTTGTGGGTGAAAATTAAGTTTTACTTGCAAAGTATGTATAATGCACAATACTGTATATTATTTATTTATATACAGTGTATTGTTTCCTGTATGACTACCAGTCTCTTAGATCACTGTGGAGGAATTTTGCCCCACTCTTCTTTAATTTGAGTCAGTTCTGTCAGGGGCTGGGTGTGTGACCCAGTGCTTTCAGTTGGTTTTGATCACTTTTGTTATATTTTGAAGATCATGTGGCTTTTTAGATTACTATTATTATTATTAATTGGCTGTGAATTTTAGTCTGTTTCACCCTGGCTTTCTGTTCTAGTTGTTATGTATTTCCTGTCTGCGTGTTTCATGTTGTCAAGTCTGTGTTGTCTACGTCTCAATATGTTTCCTGTTTTATTTTGAAAGTCTTGTGTTTCTTTGTTCGATGCATTTAGTTTTACTTTTCTCCTGTGACGTTGTTATTTTCATTTGTGTCAGCTGTTTCCATATGTGTTTCCGCTTCCCCTGATCACCTCCTGTGTGTATTTAGTCTGTGCGTTTCACTCAGTCGTGGTTAGGTAGACTGTTTACCCTCCCACCATGTCAGTTCCTCGTCCGGCATGATTCAGCTCAGGTCGTGTTCATATCTCATGTTCTTGCTTCTTCATAGTTTTCTGCACGTTCCTGCTCCGAATCATATTTATGTTAGTTATGACAGTTTTGTCATAGTTATCA